TTGGCGCGGCTTAATCAAAGAATCGCCCCGTTGAACCAGAGCCTTCGCGACACTTCAATTTATTATTTACTGTCGAAGGCTCTGGAATCCAGGGTAGAGAAGTTGAATGATTTTTCTGAAAACCGTACTGCTTATCAGATAATATATTATATTTATTAAAGTATTCCAAAAACCGGTTATAAATAATTCTTTCTATGAATTTGAAGAAACTAGGAAGTTTATAGAGACTGGTCTGTAGTTTGTGAAAACATCTCGATCTTCAGCTTTGAAAAGAAGAATTACCCGAGCAATTTTCATCTCATCAGGTACAATGCCATGAGTTATGGACAGATTAATAATGTGAGTCAATGGTTGAGAAATTACATTTATTGATTGTTTTATTATCGACATAGGAATTTTATCAAAACTTACAGCCTTTCCTGACTGAAAACTGGAAGCTATATGTCCAGGATCTCGGATTCAGTTGCTAACTTAAGGAAAATTGAATTTGGAAAATTTCATGTTGGAGTACATTCCGTCCAAAAACTCGCCGGTCAAAGAATGACAATGATGATCCATCAGGTTCAAATTAAAATCCCCCATTGTATAGCATGTTTTGTTCTCTTTAGAACTTTTTTCAATTAGTTCTTTATATGCAAATAAAAAATCCCCAACAGTTTGGTTGGGAGGTCTATAATTAACACCTATGACAATGTTTTTCCCTTGAGCCCTAGGAATCTCAAGGAATAAAGACTCCGCTAATTCTTCGTTACAAAACACAAATCATCACGCACTTTAGCTTCGAAATCGTCAGACATATACAAACCAACACCGCCTCCTGTTCCGTTAGCTCGATTTTTATGGAAAATTTTAAAGCCGTTTATGTCTACTAAACTAGCAGAATCTTGTAACCAAGTCTCTGTTATACCAATAACAGAGAATTGTATATTTAAAATGCCCAACAATTCAGTTAGTTATTGAAAATTACGCACAATGGGTCTCCTTTTTGAACACATCATTAAATTGGTCTTCTGTAAAATAATCACAGTTTTAATTCAGATCAGCGAAAAAATACGAATATGGATCGTAATCTCTCATTAGTTTACGTTGTTGGTTTGTATTAGAAAGTAAAGGATTATAACTCAAACTGGCCAATTTATCGTTATCAAAATTGATCGTGCCATTTTGCATCTCAAACATTGCTAAGTTAAAACTATCATTATCTAGATCATAAAAGGGTAGTTCTCTGCTATCACCAAGTGCTGCAGCCATATTTTACCAATAATATAAACTAATTTAATATTGCAACAATAAAATTAGGGTACTTAGCCAAATGAAGTTGACATGTTCGCTTTGAAATAATCAAGTTCTTTTATCGAGGCGAATGATGTAGCACGAGAAGTATCGTCCTTCTTTAAATAGGATTTACCATATTTTGTCCAAGGGTATTAGTAGTGAAGGACCCCACTCTGGAGTACAAAGGGATGCCGCCGATGACGTCACATTGCTCCGAAAGTAATTAGTATGGCCCTAACCCTAACCCTGGGCCGAGTAGCGCGACCAATTAACGCGGGCAGGCCTGGGCCAACTGTGACAGGTA